GGCCGCCGACCTGGCGGCCGCCGCCGCGGCCACCGCGGGCCCCGACGACCCCGGGGGCACCTTCGTGCAGCGGCAGCTGGGCGCCATCCTGCAGCCGGCCGTGAACAAGTTCTCCCTGCGGATGTTCGGCAGCCACAAGGCGGTGGAGATCGAGCAGCAGCGGGTCAAGTCGGCGGGGTTCTGGATCATCCACCCCTACAGCGATTTCAGGTACCCGGCCGGGGGGCGGGGGGGCGACCGGCCGCGCCCGGCAGGCCCCGTCTCGCCCCCCGAGAAAGCCCAGGCCCGCCGCCCGCCCCGCGCGGGGCTCGCCCCACCGCGCCCTCCGGGCCGTGCCCGAGCGCCGGCGCCGTCCAGCGTGCTGAAAGCGGCCCGCCGGGGCTCCGGGGCCGCCTCGCGCGCGCCGCGGCCCTCAGACTACAAGTTCCATCGTGCCCCCGCAGGGGAAGATGGGAGCTGCCGCCCAATGTATCCGGGGGGCCGAGGGAAGCTGCCTTCGCAGGAGGAACCGCCCTCTCCCCCCATCCCCAGCCCGTCTGCGTGGGCCTCGTTTTCCTCCTCCTGCCCACGACCCTTAACTCGGACCCTGGGGGGGTGTGCCTGTCGCTGTTTTGGGCTGCCCTTGGGGCAGGGACCGTGCTGTAAAGCACCGTGGCATGCGGCTAGCGTGTGCTTCGTCCCGGGCGGTGGCACTGGTCATTTGGGCAGGTCCTGCTAGGTACAAAGCGTGGAAGGGAAGCTCCAAGTGCCGAGGCAGGGCTGGAGGGTAGGAAACGGGGGGGGGGGTCCCCTGTTTGAGCGACATTTCATCTCCTCTCATCATCCTGCTCATTTTCTGCCCTTTAATTTGACAGCAAAACGGGGGGGGGGGACATGTTCTGATGGAAACTCCCCTCTCCTGTCTGACCCCCATGCGCACAGAAAGCATCCCCCTCCTATCGAACTCAGCACGGGAAGGAGGCGGCCCAAGCATCCCCCCACCTGGTCAGGTGCCCGCAGGAAACAGTGCTTGCAATCCCACCCTCGAGACAAGCCCAGGTGCCATCCGGGTCAAAGGAAAGCCTTCCCACAAATCCTGCCCCCGCCCCTGCTAACCAGGGAAGAAATGACCGTCCCTTTGATACAAACCACATAAAAAATAGATCCAGGGGCGGAAAAACCCCTCAGGGTTGCTCAGTTCGGCTCATGCCCTTTCCCTGAGCCAAAGTGGATAACAATTCCCATCATCCCCAGACAGCACTGGGCATGCCTTCTTGCAGACAGAGGGGAGTTGTAGACTAGCACCTCTGAAAGGGGCCAGGATGAGAAAGGCCGGACCTTTGCTCTCATCATTCAGGGAACCAACAGTTTTGCTTGGAATAGCTTCCTATCAGACCAGCCCTTTTGCAGAATCATGAGGACTGGAACCTTAGTTCATTTTCATGGATTTTGGATTGGTAACAGAGCACCTACTTTGACTGTACAAGGTCCCAGTTTTGATCCATGAGCTTTCCAGGTGTTGTTGTTAGTTTCAAAGTGGTGCCCAACCCATCGCGACCCCATGGACAACATTCCTCCAGGCCTTCCTGTCCTCCACCATCCCCGGGAGTCCACTTAAGCTCATGCCAACTGCTTCAGTGACTCCATCCAGCCACCTCATCCTCTGCCGTCCCCTTCTTCTTTTGCCATCTATTGTTCCCAGCATCAGGCTCTTCTCTGGTGAGTCCTTCCTTCTCGTTAGGTGGCCAAAGTATCTGAGCTTCATCTTCAGCATCTGGCCTTCTCAAGGGCAGTCAGGGTTGATCTCCTCTAGGACTGACCGGTTGGATCGCCTTGTGGTCCAAGGTACTCGCAGGCGTCTCCTCCAGCACCACAATTCAAAGGCCTCAGTCCTTCGGCGCTCAGCCTTCCTTCTGGCCCAGCTTTCACAGCCATACATGGCAAACTGGGAAACATCCTGTCTGGTTCTTGGACAGCTGGCACCTGTTAGTCTTGGCAATGCTGTGCTGGATGGAACCTGTATAAGATTGTTTTCTGGGTTCCTAGGGATATTGGGCCTTCCAAAGTGGGTCAGGGAGGCAGAGAAAGAGCTGCTGGGTCCTGTAGTCTGCTGTAGCAGGGCCTAGACTGAGGGAAAAAAGGGAGCCAGTAACCAGGACGATGATATTCAGGTGTGGAGGGACAGGTGGGTAAACTTCTCCCTGGCCTTCCTTTTCCATTGCTGCACATTTCCTACAGCAGAAGTCTAAGTATAGCTACTAGTCCTGGGACTAAATTCTGCCTCGTGTGTCAGAGACAGTTTGCCTGTGTGGACGTCCTGCTGGGGAACATGGGTGGGAGGGTGCTGTTCGCTGCTTGTTCTGCTTGTGAGATCCTGAGGGCACCTGGTTGGCCACCTGGTGAACTGAACGCTGGATGAGACGGACTCTCAGCCTGAACCAGCAGGTTGCTTCTTACGTTCTTAAAAATCCTATTTCCTTTTGCCCTGTTCTGGTAACATCAGAATACCAGTGCGACATGGTGGTTATGAAACCAGATTAAGACCCAGGATCATGTTGGATTCAATTCCCCGCTGAGCCTGGTGTCTTTGGACCAGGCATGATCTCACAGCATGGCCTACCTCACAGGGTTGTTGTGCGGATAAAAATGGAACTGTTTGCTTCCTGAGCTCATTGGAGGATTTAAAGCAGCTTTCTCTAACTCAGTGCCTTCCAGACATTTTGGCTCTCAACCTAATAATCATCATAAGAGATTATATTGGTAAGCAGGGCCTAATCTTGATGGTACACAGCAAACTAATCGTCCGGGCTAGCAGAAGACATATTTTGTATGCATAGTGTTGCTTCTTCAAGCCTTAACTTCTCCAGTTTGAGAAAGGATTTAGGATGCCAGTGAGTAAAAATGCCCAGGGAGCCATTGTGGAGACTGCCCTGGGCAAGATGGACAAACGGACTAAGCAGGTATAAAGGGACAGTGGAAGCTGCTATATACCAAATCGGGCCTTTGGTTCATTCAGACACTGACTCGTAACATTTCTCCAAAATTTCAGGCAGGAGCTTTCGCTAGCTCTACCTGGAGATGCTGGGGATTGAATGTGGGACCTTGTGCATATAAAGCAGGTACTCTGCCATTGAGTTACAGCCCTACTCTTAAAACGCAATAAGATTCTAGTCCTCGTGGTTATAAATACAGAGTTCATTTAAGCAGGCTACTAATAGATGAGAGTGTTAGAGAGTCTCAGCCTGGCTTCCTTCAAGAGGCCTCAGCTCCCCTCTCTCTTTTGGCCTGCAACATCTTAGGAGCAGACTGCCCCTAATTATGGAGGTTCCATTTAGATAGCATAAAGAAGAGTCCTGCCGGACTAGACCAAAGATGCGTCTAACACAGGGCACTCTCAGACCAATTTGGAATTTCTGGGCTGAGGAGGAGGAGGCTGGGGCAATGGAGGAAGCAGAAAGGTTTCCTTTTTCCTGAGTAGAAGCCAAAATTATCAGGATGCCAAATTTTGTGCCAGAATGATTACCCATCTTGTGTTTGCATAACAAATCTGTGGCCATGTACGAACACACATGGCCCACTTCTCTTTGCCTTGTTGCTGCTCTCTCTAACTCAGATAGCGGAGGGTTTTCATATCTGTCACTTCCTCGGTGGCAGATATGCTTGTAGCTTAGCTAGGACCGAGATCCAAGTTGTACACAACGATTCCTCAGAAGCAAGGATCAACCCACATTGCATGGCCTTGCAAATGGTCTTCAGCAGACCTCCAGGGTGCGACTTACAGTAGCAACCAAACTCCAGACTCAATTAAAATGCAGGCTTGCATCAAAACAAAGCCACAGGCCCATCTTTGCTCAGAAGTGAGTTTATAAATTCTCTTTCTGCCAGTTGTCAATTGCTTTGTGTTTCCTGGATTTTCGCTCCACACTCTTTTCTTATTGAAAAACCCTCCCTAACGCATTTGTTACTAGAAGTAAGAAATTTTAGTTAAAATATGCTGCAGTTTGTCCCCACCTCCTTTTGCCTTCACCCACATCCACAATTGCTCATGCCCCTGAGCGGTTCTCCAAATTGAATTCCTCCTTGGACTGAATGAGGTCCAACACAACTGCAATACATTCCATATTTAGTCACAGACTGGGGTCACACGTTCACCATGGGTCAATTGTGGGTTGCCGTTAAACTGTGGTGGGTTGTTGAAATATGGATTATCACAAATCATGGTGAATAACTCACTGTTCACAGCCAAACAAGAAACCATAGTTTCTCTTCATGGTTTGTTTGTGGTTAACAAGTCCTGGCTTGTTAGCTCAGCTGGTTTAGACATTGCAATAACCTACAATTCAATGATATCCCACACGCAGCACTCTTGAATGCTGGGTTATTGAGTTCTCTGAATCTGAGATAAACCATGGTGAACAACCAGTAGTTTACAACCCTACAACAAGCCACAGGTTCTCTTCATGGGTTGTTCACGGTTAACAAGCTATGGTTTGTTAGTGCTGTTGAGCTCAAGGAACGGAACAGCCCATGTTTCAACAGCAATCTATACTCAACTCGCATGTTGGGCATGGAGTATCTTGTGGTCTGATCCAGCCACAATCTTAACATGGCACCTAGGAGGAGATAAGGGGCTGAATTGGGTTTAGCTGGTGTTAAACATTGTACTGGTTTCATGCTTATCCGGGATGGCTGGGACTGATAAATGAGCACTGGTGGGTTCCCCCCAGTGTTTGAAAATATAAAATGTAACAGGTACCTGGAGTTTTGCTTGGCACCAAGCAAAGGACACACCAGATCCTTCTTCGGCAGAGAACTGAAGTAGACCAACATAGCCATTTACAAACTAGCCAGGCAAGCGATCAATTCTTGGTGATGTACCAGGCTATAAAAAAAGAGAAAGAAAAGTCAGTCGAAGTCAAAATGTGAAGTGCAGCAGTGGGCAGATTTCAGGCTTGCTGGATTTTCCCTGATTTTTATTGTTAGAGCCACTAACACGTCTGGTGCAAAAGATGTATGCTTAGGATTAAAGACGTCTGAGCCCAGGAATTGTTTCCTGGAGCAAACCTGAATGTGTCTGCAGAAAAATCCCTGCTTCCTTTTTTTGACTGGTGAATTTAGAGCAGGAAGGTGGAACCTTCTATCCCTGCAACTGTTAAGCAATTGCAACATGGAAATCCTTGCCGTTATATGGCAAATCACACCGAGGTCTCTCAGGAGAGCTGACCCTTCCTTTTGCCTATGCTGACCTCAACGATCCTAAACCCAGCACATGGAGGAAGAGGAAGGACAGTGACAATAGCATCCCCTTTTTAAGTATTTATGGGACTGGCATCCAAAATACTGAAGAAAGACATTTTCCACTCTTTTTTGTGAGTGTTACATTACCCTCTAGGTCAGCAGAGAGGTCATACATCTCCCTTTTCCACCATGAGGACTAGGAGATTGCTTTGTGTCCTGCTTTGTATCCTGCCCTGAGACACTGTGAAGGGCAGGCTACCGGAACTTTAAATCAATCAATCAATTGTTTTGAAGAAAGTACACTAAGATTCCAAGGATGCCACTGGCAGATTCTATCTCAGAATACAGGAAGTTGTGTCAGAAATCTGCATGAAAAGTAATTCTGGCCTATTTCTTACCGAGCATGAGAACAGAAAGAGAGATCTACCCTCTTGGTCCAGTTGCTGCCAAAAGGCAGTCAGGAGTTTTACTGGCGTGAAGGAAATGCCATGGCGACAGTCTTGGTCTGCCAGCTTGAAGTGATCCCGAAACTGCAAAGGGAAAACAAAGTCAATCAGCTGAAAAATCTTAGAACCGATGAAAATTAGCAAAACGGATAGGAAAGGACAAAGCTTGTGTGTGTGTTCATGAAAGGAAGGATAATGCGTGTGAAATGCGGAACTCTGTCTTCTCTTGCTTTCGGCATGGGACCACCCACGGCAGATGAGGCCTTCGGCAGATTACTGGAGAAAAATACAGCCCTCCAAGCGGGTGGGAGGTTTCCCTACTTTTGACATATTTTAAAGTCACCCCATCCTAAAGAAGAAAGAGAGGAGAAGAAAATGCTTGCCCTGACTCCCAGAATCCTTTGCTGGGTGTACATCTGAATTTTGCCTCGAGGACTTGGGGCATTGATCTCTGACAGATGGCAAATTACAGGGTGATGGCTTTTGACCTTCTCTTTGGGATCAAACTTGAAATACGATTAAGCACTGTTGATCGCATAATGATCTTTAGTCAATAAACACATGGCTTCTCCGTGCATTAATACTTTCAGCCCTCAAACAAGAACAACCAGCAAGCTGGCAGATGGAGCAGCGTAATTCACAACGGAGGCTGTGTCTAATAAATCATGGGACGGAGACTTTGTTTTTATTTCCATAGCGTTAGGTTTCTTTCGCTGAAGAGGAATCAGGGTGCAGGGATTTCCTGCCATCTTAGTATATATGGATTTTCTTGCCTGGTCCAAACTGTGTGACTCAAAAAACATATTTAATAATGGGAATGGAGACTAATGATATTAATATTATTTTTTATCCCATCTTTTTTCCTGCAAGGAGCTCAAGGCCGTTTACATAACCCTCCTTTTCTCCATTTTATCCTCATTTTATCTCACCTTTCTTCCTCTTGCAAGCGATCCCAAGTGGCTACAACAAATACCTTGTTAAGTAGGCTAGACCGAGGGACAGTGGTGGACACAAGCCATCCCATGAGCACCAATAAGTGGAGACGACTAGAACCTGAATCTCCCAATTTGCAAGATAAAATGGAGAGGAGGAAAACTTTCGAAGCCATCTTGGGTTCCTTGCAAAAGAAAGACAGGTGGGGTATAACAGCAATATAATAACAGTGATTAAAGGAGTCACCCACATTCCAAACCTCATCATGCGTCTTGATATAATTTGAGATCTAAATCTAGCAGAAGCAAAATAAATTCTCTTGATGTACCCACCTTCTCTGAGTTGTCTTACTGTACCATGAGGTAATTAGTTTGGCTCCTAATTTTTTTACCAGAGTGTTTAGTCAGGTTGGCTTGCATTGTATTTTCATCCTTCTGGTTTTTGTTTTTATTTCATGAGTATGATTGTGTGCTGCTTGTCTCCTGTGGAACCTGCTTTTTAGGGATTCTACAAATACAGAAAATAAATAAGCCAACCCACAATCATTCGTGTGAGGAAGCATGTACATTTTTAAAACAAGCACAAACACACACCAGTGGCTGAAAGCTCCAACATCAGTGAGGAGGTGTATCCACTCTAGGTTTCAGTCTGAACTTTAGCGGAGACATCCATGGAGCTGAACCTGCTTTGAGGACATTATTGAGCTCCTCAAAAGTGCAGGCTGGATCCCAGCACTGCATTGGCACTGGAGTCACCAACCTCCATGGCAGACAAACCCAACTAGAAAGACACCATACGCTCTCTTGCCTAAAGGAAGAGGAATGCTATAATCCAAGCTGCAAAACCTCATGGTTTTGGGGGCAAATATACTCCTAATTTGGGGTTTTTAATCCAGTCCTCCAAGTTCTCTGGATGACCATTTCTCCATCATCCTCTGGCCCCACACCCCGTCTCTGTCAACGGCCAATTGCTTGGTGGTTTCCTGGCTTTTGTGCAGATATTTTTTCCCAAGGGTTTTGACATGCACATGGTAGGCATGCCGTGAGTGGAGCCTGCTGGAGCTGGGGGTCAGACTAGATGGCCCGGGAGACCCCTTCTGACTCGCTCTGTTTCTATGTTTCTCCTAAGGCTTCGTTTGCATCAGGAGGAGTGTGAAGCTAAAATACACAGATATTTTGCCCTTGCCCTTTGCTTTTGACCCTCTCCATGACTGGAATGTGGTCCTTGAAAGCTTTTCCCAAATGCCCTCAGGCTAAGAAAGGCTTGGTACTCCGCACAATCTTGTGCCAGGATCAGGCACTGTCGGGGAGTCCATAATCATATATTTTACCCCAGTCCACAAACAAAGAGCTCCCATTGGCCCAGGTCACCCACATGGCCTATGACGTGTTGAGCACATGGCACAGGGCTTTACTCCCATTGGAGCAGTGGTTCTGCTTTTTCTCCGGGCTAAGCTGAAGAGCCCTTTCTCTTCTCTTGCAGGTTCTACTGGGATTTGATTATGCTCCTGCTCATGGTGGGAAACCTTATCATCCTCCCGGTGGGCATCACATTCTTCAAAGACGAGAACACGCCACCCTGGATTGTCTTCAATGTCCTTTCAGACACCTTCTTCCTGGCCGACCTGGTCCTGAACTTCCGGACAGGCATTGTGGTAGAAGACAACACAGAGATCATCCTGGATCCGTATACTATCAAGATGAAATACCTCAAGAGCTGGTTCCTGGTTGACTTCATCTCCTCCATCCCAGTTGACTACATCTTCCTCATCGTAGACCTGGAGACCCAGGTGGATTCCGACGTCTACAAAACAGCCCGGGCGCTCCGCATCGTCCGTTTCACCAAGATCCTCAGTTTGCTACGCCTCCTCCGGCTCTCCCGGCTCATCCGCTACATCCACCAGTGGGAGGAGGTGGGTCTGCCTCAGGGCCGCCATGATGCACAAGTCCATGTGGCGCTCAGGGAGCTAGCCGTGTTTATGACAGGAGGTTCATAAGCCACTGGCGGAAGCCTATTTGTGTCTTGCTCACCCTACTTCAGGCCAAGATTAGGGATGATTCTTCCCCTTCCAAGTTGCCTGACCATGTTTCCAAGCTGGAACTGAGGCCTTGTGCTCTCTCTCCAGCCATAGGAAAGCAAGTCCATCAGAATTTCAGGACGCGACTGTTCTTAGAGAGGGTCAGTCTACAGCCCATGAATGGGCTTTGAATTTAGAAAGTTAGGAGACAAAGAGAATTCTGCTGTATAACACGTATATATTGGTAACAGGGGAGTTGGAGAAATCTGCAATGGATCCAAATTCATCTAGATTTTCGTGGAACCAGTCTGTTGGTACTATGGATGGCCATGCTTTTCCCTGATCACATGGACTCCACAGAGTTTTGCACTGGGTTTTCACTTTGGGGCGGGGGCTGGGTATTGGGGCTAATTTACATTATTGCTTATGCAGATTAGCACAAGAGGAATAACATTCTGGCTAAAATGGATCTGATTCATCCATGAATAAAAAAATTGGAATTAAACATAGCCTGGCAAAACATAGCCAGAATGGATTTAATGAAATTCAAAAATCCCTATTGTGGGGATTTATGTAGGGACCAATGCCAATGATGGGAGTTGTAGTCCAACACCAGGTTGGGGAATGAGAACTACAATAACTGAGCTCTTTGAAATGTATGTTGTACCAATCTGATTTTAAGTTTGTTTAACTCAGAAGCAAGTCCCGCTGGCTAAAGATGCAGCAGAAAAAGCATTCCAAAGTCCAGGAATAGCATTCCAAGGAGGTGTTGACGGACTTACTGTTGAAGCTTCTGGGCAGTAGATTCAGAAGAGACATGTAGTTAGGGAATCAAAATAGTTTCTGTACCATGGTGCACCACGGATAGCTCTTACAAAGCTCAGAATAAAAGCTGCAGTGGATAAGGAGCCCCACAGGCAGAGGTCATGTGGGATGAGAGAACAGAGGCATTTAATCTCTTTCAGCCTGAGGGTTGGCATTTGATGTTGGAAAAGCTCCCCAGGGGCCAGAAGCAAAAGGGGCAGGGCCAGAATGCCAAAGATACCAGAAAATAACAGCTTGAAATGCCTCCAGCTGGTAATCAAGCATTACTTCATTCTTTTTAGAATACGTGGAAAATAGTACAAAAGCCAGGAGAACACCAAGCGTTGGGTGGTTATGTGGGGAAAGAGGATTATTATTATTATTATTATTATTATTATTATTATTATTATTATAACATTTCGATGCTGCCAGGATGCAGCCAGGGAAAACAGGGAGCGTCTGTACAGGGAGCTTTGGATCAGGACCGCAGCTGTATTGCCTGAAGAGTGATGGGAGCTGTAGTCCAACACTTCCGAAGGGCACTGGGGGTTGGGGGCAGGCTGCATTACAAGGTGCTACAAACCACAGAGTCTGAGTGCTTGAAAATACCATATGAAGGTTCTCTATACGAGGTTTCAGTTAGAAGGTCATTCAGAACCACAATAGTTTAAAAAAAGCTGCCTGGAAAAAGGACAAAGGTGGGGTAGATGCCCTTCCGAGGGGGCCTCTCCGCCTCCTAACTGCCCCCTCCACATCCCTTTGGTCCAGATCTTCCACATGACCTACGACCTGGCGAGCGCCGTGGTGCGCATCTTCAACCTCATCGGGATGATGCTTCTTCTGTGCCACTGGGATGGGTGCTTGCAGTTCCTGGTGCCCATGCTGCAGGATTTCCCAGAGGACTGCTGGGTCTCCATCAACCACATGGTGGTGAGTCGCCCCCCCAGGTCGTCCCTTCAGACGGGCAGGGTCAGGTCAAGTTGGGAAGAAGTGCGGAGTTGGAAGAGCCGCAACGATGCCGAGGGGAGAGAAAGCCTCTCTCAAGCTGATGTCACCCAGAAGTTTTGGACGACATCTCCCAGCATCCTGATGACTGGTAGCCATGCTGGCTGGGGCTGATGGGAGCAGAAATCCAAAACATCTGGAGGGTGCCAGGTGGAGGGAAGGCTGGCAGAGTGTCCCCAAAGGACTTGGACTAAGTAGGATGTGCTCAGAAGAGGCTGACTGGGATGGTGGGCCACCTACGAGGAACTGATGAATGAACGCACAATGATTTCACTGTTGCTTTCAAGGTTTGCATGAATGCCCCTTTTGAACTTGCGAATGTCGGACAAACGAATGCCGCTGGAAATATCTGCAAATTGTCCAACGTAGGCTCGTGTTTGTTTTGCTCCTGATTCCCAGTTCAATTTGCACACGTTTCCTCCGTAAACTGAACTGGCTTTACTTCAATCCCTGGATTCGGTTTTGCAAAAATTTGCACACCCCTCATTCAATCGCTCACAAGTTTCCCGCTCACACAGAAGTGAGCAGAGATCACGAACCTGAAATAGAATTTGACACTATAGCCTCTTAATAATAGAAGTTACTAGCTCAGAAGAAGTCTTCCTAGACTGTCTAGGAAGATGTGTGTAGCCTGAAATTCCTATGCATAGAATTATAGAGTTGGAAGGGGCCCTGAAGGCCATCAAGTCCACCCCCTGCTGTTGCAGGACCCCAGTTTGCAGCATCTCACTCAGATGGCCATCCAGGTCCTTTCTGAGTGTCTCCAGTGTGGGAGAGCCACCCCCTCTCCAGGCAGCTGGTCCCACTGTTGTATTGCTCTGACATAACGTGGCCAGAAATGCAGGAAGGTCAAAAACCAATTCTGTTCAAAGGGGGTGCTCTTTATTCCAGTGCCTGTTTCAAGCTTTAGCAGATGCATGGAAAACACCTCCCTTCTCACCGACTCGTCTCCACATTCCAGTTGCTGGTTTATGCTAAAGCTTCCTTCTTTCTCCGCCCTGCAGAACGACTCTTGGGGGAAACAGTATTCCCACGCCCTGTTCAAGGCGATGAGCCACATGCTGTGCATCGGTTATGGCCAGCAGGCGCCCGAAGGCATGACCGACGTTTGGCTGACGATGCTGAGCATGATTGTGGGGGCCACGTGCTACGCCATGTTCATCGGCCACGCCACAGCACTCATCCAGTCCCTGGACTCCTCCCGGCGCCAGTACCAGGAAAAGGTGCGAGAGGCCACCCGCCAGGGCCTTGCAGGGTGGTGCGGGTCGGGGCGCAGGCTCAGTTCTTGCAAGACATCCCTCATAGGCCGATTTTAAAGCCTGTGATGAGAATTCTGGCAATGGCTATTTGTCAAGACAAAGCAGCTTCACCAACCAATTGGGACGCCACCATGACCAATCCCCTCTCCTCTCTGACTGTAGTTACAATCCATGGGTAGAGTTTGGGGAGGAAATTGATTTTGTTTCAGTTACAGTAGGATGCTGTGAGCTACCTCTGTCCCAAAACAATACTGGGACTCGCTAACTTGGCAAAAATATTATTAATTGCTGCTCAGAACTTCATCAAATCAGTGGAAGTCACACACATATAAACAATCCTATATGAAGTACATCAGTAGTTTTCTGCCAGATTTGAAGGAAATCTGCTATGACATGCTGCAGATAGAAGTAACAAGCTGAAATGTGTCAGTTTTCCAGCATTATACCTTTTAACTATTTTCATCGAATGAGTATGAAGTTTTTCATGACTGGTGAATCCATCAAGTAGGTACCAGGAAATCAGGTTATCAGCATTTCATTTTTACGATGGAAGATTCAGGCTTAAAAAAAAAAAAAACACCTTAATTAAGAAGCTTCCTGTGTTCCTGTAAGAGATAAAAATGAACCAATCGAAAAGTCTGAACTCTCTTTGGGGTGTGGCTACGGGTCTCCCCTATTTCCATACTGACAGCTGCACAACTGGGCAAGCCGTACCTTCACCTCTTCCTCTGTCTCTTTCTAGTACAAACAAGTGGAACAGTACATGTCCTTCCATAAATTGCCTGGAGACACACGACAACGGATCCATGAGTACTACGAGCACCGTTACCAGGGCAAGATGTTTGATGAGGAGAACATCTTGGGAGAACTGAGCGAACCTCTCAAAGAGGTAATGTGCGTTGTTGCAGCAGGAGGAAGATAAGTAGAGAGCTTGATCAGCCCCAGAACCAGCAAAGTAATCGATCAGGAAGTAGCTGTGAGTTGGTCCAAAGTATTGGCAGCTCCCCGGTGGGAGGTTTGGTGAGGATCTGGAGAAGACGGACGTGGATGGAGTGGCCAAAGTGCATCATGACTTGCCCATGGTGGACTTGGGAGCTTTACAGCAGGCAGTGGCATCAGACTGGCTCCATAGTTCAGCCCTGTTCCCACAGGCAGGGGGATTCTGGGTTGTGGTGGTCACGGCCCAGCTTGAACAGCCAGGTTCTAACACCCTGGTGGCGCAGGGAGAGGACCTCGGACCTCAGAAAGCCTGCGGCTCCATCCCCCTGGTCCCGTCTACCAACGACCGTCTCTTTTCTGATCCCTGTTCATTGTTCATTTGGGGGATGCCTTCTTGAAAATGCTGTTAGTGTGAGTTATTAGCTGGAACACACTTTGGGGTTCAGCTCTTCCCTATGGAGGGCTTGAGAAGAGACATTTAAGGACCAGGGAGAGGGTGGTTGGTCTGTCACCTGCAAATGTGGCAAGACACTTTGTGGTGCTGTTTGTGCACACATATGCACTGTTAGCGCTCTGCCAAGAAACCATCTTGCCCTTGGCGATGGCTCAGGCCAGGGGGCTTGGTGTGTTCAAGATGGCTGCGTCACATCGGCAACCGGGGTTACGTTTCAGGACCCTGGTCAGCAATTCTGTAGCTCCAGAGCTAACCAGCTTCTCTAGCAAAGTCCAGGAGCAACTGGAAAGCTTTTATAGTCTGGCCGGGAGAGATTTCCTGGAAATACCAACCCAGGAGCATCTGGTTACGAAAGGGCCAGCCGCCTTTTCCTGCAGACACTGACTTCTCCTTAGGTTGGAGAAGAGAAGGCGATCCAGCCGAGAACTGCTTTTCCAGATAACCCTTTTCACTAGTGGGGTCTGGAATCTGCTTCTCAGAGTCAGAAGGTAGTGTCATCTCTTAGCGGGGGTTGTATGGACAAGATATGGAGTCCAAAGCAGTGACCCTATTTCAGAAAGTCCAGGAGGTCTTGGTGGGGGGGGGGGGGGGTTTGGGGGGGGTGAATATATCTCTCTTTTTCACACACAGAGCAGCCATGGGGGTATTTTTAAAACTGAGTTGAATTTTTGGTGGAAAGGCAGGGTATAAATCAAGCTAAACAATTCCCTCATGCATAATACACTGTATGACAATATAGGCTTCCTGGAGCCCACCCATATCTTTAATGCAGGCATATAGAACCTCATACTTGTAGGTAAGATTGCGCCTGCTAGTAAAAGATTTAAAGTAAATTATGCAGGCATATTTTGGTCCTTGGGGCTCCGTGTCTGTTGCCTGAAGACCACCTGGGCAGGTCGTTCCACAGAATGGTTGCAGCCCTCATAAGCAGCGTAATCAGCCATGTCCCTGAAGGCAGAGGGACTCTTGGAAGAGATGCTGCCCTTGCCAAGACGGATTCAACCTCCAACCTTCCGCTTCCCTCTGTGGTGCAGGAAATAATCAACTTCAACTGCCGCAACCTGGTGGCCAACATGCCTCTTTTCGCGAACGCCGACCCGAACTTTGTGACCGCCATGCTGACCAAGCTGCGCTTCGAGGTCTTCCAGCCAGGCGACTTTATAATCCGAGAGGGCACCGTCGGCAAGAAGATGTACTTCATCCAGCACGGAGTTGTCAGCATCCTGACTCGCGGCTCCAAGGAAATGAAACTTTCCGACGGCTCCTACTTTGGGGGTAGGTGGTAGAGCAGAAGCGGCACTGTGCCCTGGAGGTGGAATGTGACTCTGTCCATTGCACAGGCCCCAAAGGGCCAACCTAAACTCTGCTCCAGTCTTTGCTTGGTGAATTTCAAGGGGAGTTAGAAATAATCCCAAAATGGCACAGTCCATAAACTAGAGAGAAACATCCATAAGGTCACAGGAATCACGCAGTTTGCAGAAGTACGAGAGAGACAGAGAGAGACAGAGACAGACAGACAGACAGAGCCCTGAAGAAGGGGGGCAACCTAATGAAAACCAAGGGTACTCTGTAGCCAAGGAAAGCAGACCTCCTACTGTGGTGGTGTTGGGAAGGAATGGAAATGAAGGGGAAGGGCAGTCTAGAACCCTGAACTGAAGCATTCCATACTGCAGCATTTGTTGTAGTTCTCGCTTGTCCCCTTGTATTCCTGAATCACCAGGCTCGGTTTGATGATTCTATATTACGGCAGAGAAGCATACAGTGCGAGCCCTTTTGTTACGTGACTAAACACTGGCCAATATCGGTTTTTGAGAAACGTTGCTTCCCCACACCAACCTCTGCTTTAACATTCCAAGAACCATTTCTAGCTCCAGTATTTTTCTCTGGGAGGTTTACTGGGCCAAGAGAAAGGTCAGAAAGTTCATTGAGGCAAGGGATGACATTCTAGGTCTTTGCAATTAAAGGGGCATAGGAAAGGTTAATTCAGAGATGAGCATCTCTGTAGGGTTAATTCAGAGAAGAGCATCTTCCCCTGATGGAGACAGTCAACTGGGTTTATTTATTTATTGATTTGATTTGACTTGTATGCTGCTCCATTAGCCATAGACCCTCTGGGCAGCTCACAATGTAGGAAGTACAGGGCCTTCTCTGCTGTGGTGCCCAGACTCTGGAATGCGCTCCCCAGAGAGGTACGCCTGGCGCCAAGTTTATACTCTTTTCGGCGCCTGGCCAAAACCTTTTTCTTTAAACAGTATTTTAAACTCTAATAGTTTTTAAGTTTAGTTGCTCTGTTTGGTTTATTGTTTTGTTCTGTTTTATTATTAAAATTGTTGTTTTACTTGTCCTTTTAAATATTGTAAGCCGTTCTGAGATCTTGTATAATAGGACAGCATACAAAAGTTTTTAATAAAATAAAATAATAAATAAATAAGTATATTGTATATTATGAAAACTGAGGGCTGACAAGAATGGACTCCTGGGTTTTGGGGTCATTTTGATCAGCAAAGCCATCGGAGGTGGGCAGAGAACAACAGTTTCCAAGGCTGGTGCCAACGCTTGGCTGGCTCCCTGATGTTGACATTCCCTGTGCCAGAGGCACTCTTGTGTGACAGGGCTTTTGCTGAGAGTGTCCCTGTGGCGCTGTGGGGAATTTTAGAAAGGGTCTTACCGTCTCCCACCAGAGCTCTGCCCACAGCCACCAAGGAGCATGGGAGATGTTTTTCCTCTCAAAGCCAGAGCTGTCCCTGGGAAACACCCTGCGCAGAAGGGCCTGCCCACTCCAGGGAATGATTCCTTCCTCCCAGAGCAAAGGGGTTTGAGATGGTGATTTCCGCAAAGCGAGACATACTGACGGTCGAATGTAATTCCGAGGTTGTCCTCAGATCCAGCTGTCTCCATTTCTCCTCCAGAAATCTGCCTCCTGACCCGGGGTCGACGTACAGCCAGCGTGCGTGCCGATACCTACTGCCGTCTTTATTCGCTCTCGGTGGACAACTTCAACGAGGTCTTGGAGGAATACCCCATGATGCGTCGGGCCTTTGAAACTGTAGCCATGGACCGGCTGGACCGCATAGGTGATAGAGGGAATAGAGGGAACCTATGAATGCGTTTGCTGGGGCTAAGACATAGGCAATGCCATTGGGAGCATGGGAGCCGCGTTTCTTCTGCCACCCACCTGGCTCTCCATTCTGTCCATTCTGACACCAAACAAAATAGGTTACCTCCTATGTGCATAACTGTCCATTCTTAGTCATCTAAGAAAACAAAATCAAAGAAGAACATTTTCTAAAGTTTCCCAGCCTAAGCACCTACAGTTAATGTCTGCTCGCTCTAGGTGACCAAACAAGTCACAACATGCAAACCTGACGCAGTCCTGGCAACTATTTGAAAATGCAAAAGTAATTTCTGTACTAAAAACCAGAAGTGAGTGAACAATGACCCGATGGCTCGGTTCAGACAACACAACAGTCCATACTCCGGGGTTTTCATGAAACCATGGGTTGTAATGGAAATGAGGGTCTGAAATGCTGTCTGAACGCAATATAACAAGCCATGGCAAACAACCCACAGTTCACAACCCAACAAAAAACTGAGCTCCCTTCATGGGCTGTTCATAGTTAACCAATCACGCCTGTGGTTAATCAGCCATGATCAGTTGGCATAGGTGGGTTCAAACAAGGTAATAACCCAAGTTTACCAAGCAACAACCAGCAATCAGCCCAGTCATCTTTCCTATGTGTGGTTTCACCTTCTGATGCAGCAGAGCTTTCTAGCTCTTCTGCACCAAGATGACCTTTTACCCTCTCCTTCCCTTTCCTCGCCAGGGAAGAAGAACTCGATCCTGCTGCGCAAGCGAGCAGAGCACAGCTCCAACACCGTCAACAACGAGATCATCCAACAGATCGTCAAACACGACCAGGACGTGGTGCACAACATCAAGGACGTGCAGCCGGTGACGGCCGGGCGGGAGCTGAGCGGCAAGCCTGTGATCTGGGAGCCGCTGGTCCACGCCCCGCTGCAGACGGCGGCCGCCACCACCAACGTGGCCATCGCACTGACCCACCAGCAAAGCCTTGCGGCTCACATCTTCCTGCCCCCGTCCTCCGTGTCCAGTCCTCTCTCCCCCGACGCCGTCCTGGTCCCCCGCCACCCTCGGCGCTCCCAGCCCAGCCTGGGCGGCTCGCGCCCCTCCTCGGTCAGCTCTCCGGCATCGGGGGCACAGTCCCACCTGCAGACCCCCGCTGCCGGCTCTCTGTCCTCTCCCATGGTGCAGTGCACATCGCCCCTGGAAAGCGCTGGGCCCAGAGGCGCCCCCGCGGGGCCCCCCATCCCTCGGCCAGCGCAGAGGGGAGAACCTGCCCCGGGAGCAAGCCAGCCGCAGCTCTCCAAGTCCCGCGGCACGTCGGTCTCCACCTCGCTCCTGCAGCAGCCCGCGAGCACCTCCGCCGCCCTGCCCGGCCGGACTCTCCATTACAGCCTCTCCCGGGCCACGGGGTCCCACATCTCCCTGTTCCTGCAGCCTCAGCAGCTGGTGAAGCACCGGAGCACGCAAGGCCTGTCGGTGGGCCGCCTCACCCAGGAGGTCAGGCCGCTGTCGGCCTCCCAGCCCTCCTTGCCGAACCGGCTCACCCAGCAGGCGGACGTGGGCCCCTCCTCGCAGGCCCGGAAGTCGGCTGGGAATCTGACGCACCGGTCCTCCCCCTCGGTCCCGGGGCTCCTGGCCAAACCGGCCCCCAGGGCGGGCGGCCAACCTGCTCCTCCGCAGCAGGTGCCCCTGGGGGCAAGCCGCTCCACGAGTGGGACGGGCACCCTGCAGTCCCCCGCCTCTGCCCCCCGCCCTGCCGCCACACCGCCCCGGAAGGGCTCCGTGGCATTTAGCCCCGACGTGGACACCGGGAAACCGAAGCTCCCCTCCAACATGTGAGGCCGCGACAGCACAGGGCTGCGTCTTCTGACAAAAGGAGGGGGAAACACCCACCTGCCAGAAAAGCGGGGATGATTCGGTGGGGGTGCGGGGCAGGAGGGAGCGCTTGGAGCATTTGCCACTGGGAGGGGCAAGCCATCAGTCCCCCCACAAAAAAAGCCTGATCGGGGAAACAGCCATTCCCTCAGATAAGGTTCTGTGCCATCCCAGCACCCCACTGCAGCAAGACCCCCACCCGAGGCCAAGCTGAACCTCTCCTGGCCCCCACAGTTGGGGGGAAGCTGGGCTGTGGCCCCCTGTTGGCCTTCGCAGGGGGAGCTGCCCCTGTGTGGGTGTCCCCCCCCTTGTCTCAGCCTTCCAGATGCGGCTCCACATGCCTTTTCTGGGCCTGCCCTTGCCGACATCTGTGTGCCTGACCCCTCTGGGGCCTTGTGCTTGGCGGAGGCAGGGGGAGGCAGCTCAGAGGGCAGGGGCCACATCTGGGCAAGCGAAGCCAGGCCTACAGCCGCTCGGGGGCCCCTTTCCCTCAGCGTGGCCTGGGCTTCGAAGGCGGGGGAAGGAGCTAAAACCACGTGGCCGAAGAAACTGGCCCGAAGGACACACTGGCTGAACCAAGGGATGTTTCTTCAGCCACATACACAAAATTGCTCCAGCCCACCAGCTCCTGCTCTGGGCAAGTAACATTTGGGGCCACTCCGTGGGAAGTGTCCCCCTCGCCACTGCCGTCTCTTTCCCTGTCTTTAGGAGTATTTTTTAATGCGGAGATATTTTATCTAGCAATGTTTCTCTCTTCTCCTCCCCAGCTGGCCCCTGATTTGGGCAATACGCATCTCACGATGTCTTGTGCAAGTTCTTGTTAGCTATAGAAGCCCTGGTTCCATGGGAGAGGGAAGGAAGCACCTGCTGTGTTGTCCCCGTCCGCCTGGGTCTCTCCCACCCCAGAGACAATGGCTTGGTAAACCAAGCCCGATATCGCTATTACTGCCATAAGCTCAGCTGTGGAGCTGGGTGGGGGTCCCACATGCGCACACCCCCCTTTCTAACCCTGGCTCAAATAGCTCCTCACTTGGAGGTGCAGAACTGCCGAGCCGGCAAGTCCGGTCTGCCAGGTGGCCTCAGGGTTGAACGTTTGGTCTAAGCCCAGCTGAAAGGTGAAAAACCTGAACTACGTGGCTTTGGATTTTTTGGGGGGGTGGGGGGGAATCTGCTATCTCTAGCCCCAGTTACTGTGGTTTTGGTCCCCAGTTAAAGGAATTGTAGCTATGAGATCTAAGAAGTGTGTTAATGAGTTGATTAACTCTGCATATATGTTTCATTCCCTCGGTGGTTTCAGTTTCAGTGGTTTCAGACCTCCAGTTGCTTCTCCAGGCATGTTGGACTGCAGTGTCCATCATCCCCAGACACCATGACCCACTGGGGAGGGACTGCAACACATGGGAAGGAACCAGATTGGGGAAAGTTGGCCAAAGGCAAATAATCAGCTGAGAATCGCAGCTTGAAGTTTATCGGCAATTTTTGAAAGCAGATTCAGAGGTCCAAAAACAGCACATAATGCAGCCCTCCCCTAAATGTGTTGGTCTACAACTTCCATCATCCTGCAGCACAACAGGCAGGGCAATGATGGGAGTTGTAGTCCAAGCTGTTTCTCCTTTAACTCCAGTTCTGCTTAGTGAAATGAATGTTCCATAGCTTTTCACATCCAGAAGATGGATATTTTAGCATCTTCTTTAAATGGGAAGTAGAGTAACTGTGGTTCGTGGGTACAGAAACCTGGTTCAAGTGTGTTAAGGGTCATCTGTTCTAAGCAGTGTCTAACTGACCCTCACCTGCACCTTCAGGTTTTCTCCTCAAGATCAGTGGTGTAGTGATAAACTGTTGAAATTCAGGCATTTGTCATAACAAAAATCAATTCGGATAACCCAACACTCTACACTCAAGGGTTGAGTATGGTTTGAATGTGGCTTGTTGAAATGTGGGTTGTTGTGCTGGCCGAACCATGAACAACCCATGCTTGGTTGCTGGGCTGTCAACTGCAGGTTGTTCACCATGGTTTGTCATCTCGGCTGAGTTCCGCCAACATAGTGGAACGACAACCCACACTCGTGTTGTTGGAACCAGTCCATATCACACGCAGCAGCAAAGAGCACCAACCTGCACACCACTCAGCAGGTTAGGGTACAGTTGCAATCTTGTGGAGAGTTACTGGGAATTAAGTTCCACTGAACTGCCTGCGTTTGCATGATCATGGTGGGAGAATCACAGCGCTTGCTCTTCCACGCACACCGACACATTTACCAGTCCTGTGCTGGGGGAATTTGCAGTTACCCAAAACAGGCCAGGAGGTAGCAGAACATAATCTAATAAATACATAAGTAAGATGCCACCCCCAGCTTGCTCTCTGCTCATCGAGTCAGCAAGTGGGACCCATGAGGAGGAGCCAGAGGGGCAGCTGGTGGCAACGGTGAGGAGAGAGTAGAACCCTCCAACAGCCCACAGGTTCTGGGTGACTTGTTACCCATGCCAACAAGCCACACATGTCGGGGTCAGAGGACAGGACAAGCTATGCTGCCAAGGATTATTATGCAAATTCCACCTGGGCTAGATAACAATATATTGCCCCCCTCTGCAGTCCACACACAGGAAAGCTCCTTTATCTCCACCTTGTTCACTTGCTAGACTAAGGAAAGTCCCAACCAGGATGGCAGCTTCTGGCCAAAAGGTATCACCACTGTTGCTTTGAAAAGAGCACCAGAGATGCGCCCCCATGGATTTCTCTCCACTACACCACTATTCAAGACCATCAAAATGCATATTACTAACCCCTTAGCACACTTCAAAACAATGCTATGTACATAAAGGGAAAGAACGAAGGAGCAAACTCTGCTCCGACTTTGGTGTATGTTTATGGGCATTGTGCAATTCTAAGGCACGCATTGATTGTGAATGTGGAAGCAAAAAGTGGCAATTGCTAAAATGAATAAGAGAGCATCGTATTCGATATGTCCTTCTGGCTGCTTTGCATCTGATAACGGTCCCCACCCTGGAGACCATCCTTCCTGGGTGAAGTGAGGTGGGACTGCACCCTGGACCAGTTCTGGGGCTCTGTTTCTCCCTACTGCCCTCTGTGCATCCAACTTCTTGTTGAGAGCACTTTTCAAGAAGTGAGACTTCCACTCTGTCCCGCTCTCTGGGTGGCACGCCATTGGAGAACGAGAAGGGAGAAATATCTCTGAATTTAGTCTTTGCCCTTACTGCCTCCCTACCCACACTGTGGGTAGTTTCCAGGATGTCCATCACCAGCAAAGAAATCACAACAGGGTAGCAGAGTGCCCATGATCCAGCCCACTCCTTGTGCCTCAACACTGCTGGAGCGGGTTGGCGGTTCTTACTGGGCCCAAGGCATCCCTCCTTCTGGAAAAGCCCGTTCCCCACTGCACACATGGGCTCCCTCCTCTGCCAGGAGCACTGAGGCACCTATCCGAGCCCCGCTCGTCTTCTCCAGGAACCAGTAGTTTGCAATGTGCATTCAGTGTGGCTCTGTCAAGCGGCCAAATTTTGCGTGAAAAGGTGTTGCTTTCAGATTCGGCCCTGCTCCCGATTCTGGGTAGAGTAGCTGCTCGGAGTCTTTTAGAGTTCTCTGTTCAGATACCCTCCAGTAGAACTGCTCTCCTGCACGACCAGATCTACTCTGCTGTAAAACGCTTTTCTCTCCACTCCTAGAGTCTGGTGCTGGGGGGGATGAGGCGGGAGAGAAGCAAGGCCTCCAAGTGTCATCCGACAATCTTCTCCAAAAGACGGAGGGGCTCTCGGGCACAATCTGCAAAAGGAGCAACGCCCTCCCTCTCTTCTAGGTTGCTGCTCAACCAGAAATTCCTGCCGTGCCCCTTAGAAGCACTAGGCACGAGGGCAAGACACCTTTTCCATTTTGTCCAGAGTTGTCTTCCCTGTCAGGTGGGCCACCAAACAGCTTTGGCCCACCCAGCAGGACAATCCCTGTGGAGTTGCGTTGCAGATAGAGCAACCGGAACTGCCTTCTTGTCATCCCCACAGTCCAATCCTTGGCCCACCCCTCCCTCCATCTTCTTGACTCCTCTGGCAGGAGCTCCCAGGTCATTTGTGTAGGTTCGAAACATTCCAAGAACTGTTTACACTCAACCTGTAGCTGCTGTTCCCATCGACATGCAGTTGGGAAGGAGTAAGCGCACCCGTGGGATGCTTTGAGCAGGCCCTGGGGTTGTGCCTGCTCTGGAACGTCTCTCCTGTCACTGCTAGCCCCCTCAAGGGCTGGAAGGGTCCGAGCGGGAGCCACATCTAGCGCTCAAAATCCATGAAAGACCTTCCTCTCCCCAGCACCCTCTCCGTGGGGTTTCCTCACCTCATTCGTGCTGGTGTGTGGGAGACGCACACAGAGCAAAGATGACCAGGTCTGCCTGCAAAGAGCAAGGAGATTCAGATGCAGGTATTTCCACACGCGGCAAAAGCTTGGATGAGTGCGGCTGCTCACGTGTGTGCGTCTCCGTAGTGTGAGCGTGTGTGTGAGCACACGGGTGTATGTGCGATCTAGTGTGATCTAGTGACCAAAGACCATGGATTCATCACCTTTGCCACTGGCACTGCTCGGTGTACAGAGCTTGTAGGTTTCATATCACAAGAAAGTTTTAAAGCTGTTCTCTTTTCTTTCCTTTTTTAAATATATATTATATATATATATAATTTTGCTTTATTTTGGTCGTTGTACCTAACAGATTTCAATAATAAAGGGAGACTCGGAGCTGCTTCTGTCGATTTGTAAATAAATACTGGTAATGAGGTTGCTGCCATCATGGATCTGATGCCAGGAGGCTACAAAGCAAGGCTCTGGAAGGTGGCAAAAGCAAGAGACCAGAGAGGAGGAGGGTGGATCATGAATAGCCAGGCTGGTAGCTGGAAATGCCCAAAGGTCAGGACCTAAACACTCTGGTTTTGCAAAGCAGAGAGAGGTGGCTGCCAGGCCTCATGGG